GAAACTCTGTACCCCTTAAGCAATAGTCCCCTATTCCCCATTCCCTCCAGCTCCTGGTAACCTCTCATCTACTTTCTGTCTGTATTCATTTGCCTATTCTAGATATTTCAGATAAGTATAATCACACAATATTTGTCCTTTTGTGACTGAGTGATTTCACTCAGCATGTTATCACGGTTCATCCATGTCGTGGCATGTATCAGAACTGCATTTCTCTTTATGGCTGAATAGTATTCTACTGTATGTATGCACCACATTTTGTTTATCCGTTCTTATGTTGGTGGACATTTGACTTGTTTCCACCTTTGGCTATTGTGAATAGTGCTGTGATGGACATTGTTGTACAAGTATTTCTTTGAGCCCCTGCTTTCAAGTCCTTTGGGTATACACCTAGGAGTGGAATTGCTGGGTCCTAAGGTACTTCTGTTTAACTTTTTGAGGAACCACCAAACTGTTTTTCCACAGTAGCTCCACCATTTTACACACCCACCAGCAATGCATAGGGTTTCCACTTTCTCCCAGTTTTTATTGAGTACCTACTGTGTGCCAGCCTGGAGGAGCTCATGGAGGGAGACTGCCTTTTCCAGCAGGGCCCACCATGGCCTCATCAGTTGCTGAATGACCATGGATGAGCATTTCTCCATCTCACGCAGGACAGAGTAGGGGCCAATTGGAAATCCACACAGAATGCCATGGCCTCTGCAGTCAGGGGATAAGGTCACAGCCTGGACTTCTGGGGCAAGCTGTGCATCCCAGGGGCTTCTCAGGATGCCCAGCCAAACCAAGGCTGACCCACCTTCCTGGGCGTGGGGAGGGTGGTCACGTAAAACAGCCCTGAGGGAGCAAGGAGCTCTAGCCTGAGGAAAAGTGACCCCATTTCTAGAGCTCTGCAGGGTAAGCCTTTTTAATTGTCTCCGTAACATCTCAGAGGTGGGTGATGTGATGGAAGAGAAGCATGTGGGCTTGAATCTCTGGCCTTGGCCATGTGCTGACTACAGGCCCATGGGCGGTTTTTTCAGTTCTCTGGGCTTCAGTCTCCTGGATAGTAATGTCCACCCTGAAGGATTGCTCTGAGAATGTAATGGGAGAATGTTTCTAAAGAA